TTTAAGGGAAGTCACAATATTGAACAGGGAATCAATTACAGCAATAAGGAGGACAACATATTGGAAGGGTCATCAATAATGCCCTTTTGGGTAGAACTTGAAAACCAAAAAGGAGCAATCACATTGCTGGGATTGTACTGTAAGCTCCCTAAACAGTCCGAGAGAAATCGAAGAGCAGATATGTAGGCAAATTTTAGAAAAGTGTAAAAGTAATAGGGTAATGCTAGTAGGGGATTTCAACTTCTCCAACATTAACTGGGGTAGTCATAATGAGAAGGTCTTGAGGGACCAAAATTCTTATAATATTTCCAGGAGAGCTTTTAAAGCCAGTACAGAGAAGGCCCTACAAGAGATCAGAACTCTGATAGGTTCATGAATGTTCTGGAAAAGGAAAAGGGTGGGACTAAAATCCAGATGACAGTAGTCATTTGTGAATGCAGGCAGAAGACATGGGTAGGGTTCTAGATGAATATTCCATGTCGGTGTTCACTAGACAATGTGGACATCGGAATCAGGGAGAAGGACTGTGATATTATTAAAGAAATTAACATAGACAGAGAGAATGTTCTGAGTGGTCTGTAGATAAATTTCCAGGGCCGGATGAAATATATCCCAGGATGTTGAGTGAGGCTAGGGAGAAAATAGCAGGGATACTGGCAACAGTTTTTCAATTCCTCTCTGGCCACAGGAGAAGTGCCAGGATACTGGAGGACAGCAAATATAGTATCATTATTCAAGCAGGAAGCAAGGGATAAACCAGGAAACTACAATCAGTCTAACCTCAGTGGTGAGGAAACTATAGGAAGCAATTCTGGGGGACAGATTTAACCTGCATTTGGAAATCAGGAACAGTTAGCATGGTTTTGCTAATGGGAGCTCATGTCTGACCAACTTCTTTGAATTTTTCAGAGATAACCAGGTTTGTAGATAAAGGCAATGCATTTGAAGTGGTCTGCTTGGACTTCAGCAAGATTTTTAATAAGGTCCTGCTTGGAGTTAAGAGTTCATGGGATCCAATGAAATTTGGCAAATTGGATCCAGAAATGGTTGATTGGCAGGAAGCATAGGGTAGTAATCGAGAGTTGTTTTTGCAACTGTTTTTATGTCTAGGGGGTTCCGCAGGATCAGTGTTGGGGACCCTTGCTGTTTGTGTTATATATAAATGATTGAAACTTGAATGTAGGAGAGTTGATCGATGCGTTTGTGGATAATATGAAAATTGGTAGAGTGGTAAATAAAGAGGAGGCTAGCCTTAGCTTACAGAAGAATATGGATGGGCTGGTCAATGACATATGGAATTCAGTCCAGATAAACATGAACTGATGCACTTGGGCAGGACAAACAAGGCGAGAGAATACATAATGAGGACATAGGAAGCACTGAGAATCAGAGGGACCTTGGTGTACATGCCTACCAGACCCTTAAGGTATCAATACAGGTGGATAAAGTGTTAAGAAGGCATATGGGATAAATGCCCTGATTAGACGAGGCGTAGAGTTTAAGAGTAGGGAGGTTATGCTGGAACTGTACAAAACATTGGTTAGGCCATTGTGTGAAGTTCTGGAAACCACATTATAGGAGGGGTGTGATAGCACTGAGAGGGTGCAGTGGAGATTTATCAGGATGTTGCCTGGGTTAGACAGTATGAAGAGAGATTGGACAGACTGGGATTATTTTCCTTGCAGCAGAAAAGACTGAGGTTGGAGGTTGGGGGTGGGGAATATCGTTGAGCTGTATAAAATAATGAGAGGCATAGACAGGGTAGACAAGAAGGAGCTTTTCCCTTTGGTGGAGGAATCAATGACTGGGGCATAAATTAAAGGTAAGATTACAGAGATTTATTTTCCCTCAGAGGGTGGTGGGAATCTGGAACTTTTACTGCCCATAAGGGTGGGAGCAGCAGAAACCCCCATAACATTCAGTAGGTGTTTATATGTGCATTTGCGATGCCAAGGCATACAAGGTTATAGGCCAAGTACTGGAAAATGGGATTAGAACAGTTAGGTGGTTAATTTTGACCAATGCAGAGTCAAAGGGCCAAGGAGCCTTTTTCTGTACTGTAGACCTCTATGATTCTATAGTTTCGTGTCTCATCAGAAGAACAACATTTCTGTCAAAGCAAGCCTGGTTTTGTGCCTTCAAGACTGAGAGTGAGGTTTGAATCCAAAACATTTGAGCTCAAGAAACAAGAATGTTATCAAATGACTTAAGCTGCCGATTGCGAAATAAAGTATTTAAGTAACAAATTTAAAATGGATTTTAAACGGAAAAGAAGAGCTCATCACTTGAAGCAGCTTTAACACATGCAATCCTATTTCTGTTTGTGCAATCTGACAGTATGGCGTAAACTTTTAATCTTTATTCTTCAGCTAGAACAGTGCAATAGTTACAGGCAATTCAAAACAGAGTATTTATGAACTTGCCAGAATTATTTCATTTTATATTTGATGTATTCCTACCTGAAAAATATTAAGCTATTACTAAAAGAGATGCTGATTTCAAACCTACATTGAGCTCCTGCTGATTTCCTCATTTGTTTAACAATTGCTACTGTTCATGTTATATTTTGAAGCATCATTTTCCTAAAGATATAGAACCTGGTTAAACTATCCTAGATGAGTAGGAGCTGAAATTTTCACCAAAAGCATGTTTGCAAATTTTCACTATACTGACTTCTTCAGACACAAAATTAAAACTGACCCTTGTATATTCCCATTAAAATCTACTAAAGAAAACAAAGACTTTCAAAAATATGGCATCTTTCGGGACTTTAGGACAGCCAGCCAATTAAGCAGTTCTGGAATGAAATTGCTGTTGTAATGTGGAAATATAGAGGGTGGTGTAGTCACTGACAGATGGGACAAAAAAATTTGAGGTGAAGAAGAAATTGACTTGTGTCATTGACATATTGATTGTTTGTACGCAGAATGCTCCTTGCCAAAATGGAGGCAATTGTACTGTGACATGGAATGATTTTGAATGTCAATGTCCACTGGTGTACAGTGGAAGGACCTGTGAAAGGAAAGTGTGGTGTGAAACTGACCCATGCCCTGCAGGATATCGGTGTCAGAATCTTCCGGGTGGATATGAATGTAAGGACTACAAGAATTCACTTTAAAAATTATTTATTTATTGGTGGGTGGGTGGAGCGTTCATGGTCACAGTTACCAAATATGGGCAGTCAACAGTTTGCAGCAATTTCTGAAAGTTTATCGAGGGTTGTTAAGATGCTGCGGTTTAGATATAATACATTAGTTAATCAGATAAACAGAGTGACAGATGAGAACGCTTCACCAATTCTGAAACCATTCTTAGAATGGGAGAAACAAAGGTAACAGTTTTGAAGGGGTGGAGTGTTCACCTCTGATGTTGTTGTGCAGTCTTTGGTGACAGTACTTGATCTTCCTACGACCTGACATGAGGGTTTGCTTAGTCTTCTCTCAAGAAGATAGTGTCTCATTCCCCTGGATCCTTCTCTCTTTCTCTCTCTCTCTCTCTCACTCTGTCCCTGTCTCTGTCTCTGTCTCTGTCTCTGTTTCTCTCTCTTCCCCACCCCCACCCTCACCTATCCCCATTGAAAAGGCTTGTTTTGGGACTATTCTGTGTCAGTCACCTCTCAACCAATGACCAAGGATAGCTACTCATGATGCCAGAATGATCACCATCCCCATTCCTCCTTTGAGGTTAGTTTTCATTTCTTCTAAGAACCAAGATCTGATTTTTTTTCAAACACTGCATTTCTAATTGGTTAGTGTTGCTCCTGATAAATCCTTTGTTTCTACTTGTAGAAAGCTAGTTACTCCTGTAACACAGTTAAATGAGGTCTCATGCTGCATAGGAAATACTAGTATGGAATACTAAAAAGTCAGTTTTAAAGTGGAACGTACTTTCCAACAAAATATTCGGGGATTAGAAGAAATGAAAAAGTCTGAATTTTAAATGTATTCCAACCTTTGAATCCCAAGTTTGCAAAGTCTCCCTATCACACAGTATTGTCTGTGGATGAGTAAAATGTCAGAATGTCTGATTTTGGTGCTCATCAAGGCTAGTTTAACAAAAGTTTGAAAAAGTTTCATGTGCCCCTAAAGTATCTTGGGCACAGCAATGTCTTAGCAATAACTTGCTCACTGATGCTCGGTTTGAGAGGAGGTGGTGAGAGTGACTCTTGACATCGAATCATAGAGCTGTACATCATGGAAACAGACCCTTCGGTCCAACTCGTCCATGCCAGTCAGATATCTTAAATTAATCTAGTCCCATTTCAGCATTTGGCCCATATCCCTCTAAATCCTTCCTATTCATAGACCCATCCAGAATCTTTTAAATGTTGTAATTGTACCCACCTCCAACACTTCCTCTGGCGGCTCATTCCATGCACGCACCATTCTCTGCATGAAAATATTGCTCCTTTAGGTCCCTTTTAAATCTTTCCCCTTTCTCCTCAAACCTATGCCCTCTAGGTTTGGACTCCCCTACCCTGAGGAAAACACCTGGGTTATTTACCCTATCCATGCCCACCATGATTTTATAAGCTTCTATAAGATCACCCCTCAACCTCAGACACTCCCGGGAAAATAGCCCCAGCCTCATCAGCCTCTCCCTGTAGCTCAAACCCTCCAAACAGACAACATTTGATGATTATGGCAACAAGGAGCCTTAGCAAAACATGGGAATCAGCGGAGAAAGTTTCACTGGTTAGAATCATACTGAGCTCAAATGAAGATGGTTGTGTTTGTTGGAACTCTATTATCTCAGCTCCAGGACATCTCTGCAGGAGCTCCTCAGGACCGTGTCCTCAGCACAACTATCTTCAGCACTTTCATCAATGACATTCCTTCCAACATATGGTCAGAAGTGAAGATCTTTACTGAAAATTACATAATACTCAACACCACATATGACTCCTCAGAAACTGCAGCATATATCCATTTCCAATAAGGCCTGGGCAACATCCAGGTTTCAGCTGATAAGTGACAAGTAACAATTATGCCACACAAGTGCTAGGCCATAGCCATGTCCAGTAAGACAAATTCCAACCACCTTTCCACATCCTTAAATCCCCTGTTAACAACATCCTGGAGGTTATCAGCATTGACAGAGGCTGAACTATACCAGCCATATAAATATTGTGGCTACAAGAACAGGTCAGAGGCTAGAAATTGTGCAGTGGGTAACTCAGTTCCTAACTTCTCAAAGCCAACAGAACATTTACAAAGATAACAAGGTGCAGGGCTGGATGAACACAGCAGGCCAAGCAGCATCATAGGAGCAGAAAGGCTGACGTTTCGGGCCTAGACCCTTCATCACCTTTTCTGATGCCCTGCACCTTGTTGTCTCGGATTCTCCAGCATCTGCAGTTCCTACCATCTCAGACCATTTACAAAGCACAGGTTAGAAGCATGATGGGATACTGTTTACTTTCAACTCCAAAAACACTCAATAAACTTGATACCGTTCAGGGAAAACAGCCCACTTGACTGGTATCACACCCACCACCTTAAACATCTGCTCCTTGCATCACCAATATGCAGTGGCAGCAGTGTGTACCATCTATAGGATGCCCTGCAATAATTCACCAATGCTGTTTAGACAGCACTTTGCAAACCCATGATCCTGGAAGGACAAGGGTAAAAGATGCATGAGAACACCACCATCTGCAAATTCTCCTCCAAGCCACTCACTATCCTGACTTGGAACTATATCACTTTCCCATCATTGTTGCTAGGTCAAATATTGGAAGTCCTTTACTAACAGTACAGTGGCTGTAAGTAGCCCCTCTCAGTGGACTATTCGAGAAGGTGACACATTACCAACATTGCAAGGGGAATTAGCGAAGAGCAAAAAGTGCTGGCTAAGGCAACAATGCTCTTGCCTCCGAACAAACAAAAACAGGGTTAAAATATAACAATCAGCCAATGTAATTTGGCAGTCACTCACATGCATGCGTATTTCCAAAGCAGACATATCCATTTGGAGGCAGTTGATTCTAAATGTAGGAATGTTTAGTTGCAAATACATTTGTTTCTTCAAAAGCACACGCAAGTGTTAGAAAGGTTATCATTGAAAGAGTCCAACTTTGAATGACCGATATGGTTTTCCAGGAGATAACTTTTACTTTCTATTTTTGTGGATGTTCACAGGTTATGCTAATGCAACATTTCAAGGTGAAAATCCAATGACCTACATTGGCAACAAGTTTATCACAAGAGATCTCATAAGCATTTCCATGGACTTCAAAACCAGAAATGTGGATGCTGATCTGCTACAGGCTAGCAATGGCGCTGAGTCCATTTGGTTTGGTATCCATAACTCTTACTTGCAGTTCAGGTTGTATAGTGGAAATAGTCTAGAAGCCATCACTCTTTCTAGCAACGTCAATATCTCTGATGGACAGTGGCATTCAGTGCTCATTACAATGGTGGAGCCTTTAATGATGTCCTCAAGGTGGACCATGGTTCTTAATGGAAATTCCAATTTTAACAGTCCAGTCACTGCTGGGAATTTAAATTTTCTTCAACATAATGTGAATATAACCCTAGGCAACAGTTTTAGAGGTTGTCTTGGTGTAGTTAAAATTGGTGGAATATACCTGCCTTACTTAAAGCAAAATATTTTTACAGACACTGAACAGTTCATCCTAGTAAGTAAGCCCCCAATTCATATTGGATGCTTTGGCACAGAGGTATGTTCCTCAAATCCATGCCATAATAATGGAACATGTGTAGACCTATTTGACTTGTACCAGTGTAACTGCATGGCAGGATGGGAAGGCACCAGATGTGAACTCAATGTTGATGACTGTGCGTCCACTCTCTGTATTCATGGTAACTGCAGCGATTTGTTGGAAGGCTACAAGTGTAGCTGCAACCTGGGCTACACTGGCAAAAACTGTGAGAGTAATATAGATGACTGCGTGAACCACAAATGTAGAAACAACGGGACCTGCATTGACAGTATCAACTCGTACTTCTGCAACTGTCTACACCAGTTCACTGGACGATATTGCGAGTAAGCATACTGTTCTATATATGTCTGATTCTATATACTGAAACTACTCAAAAATAACTAGCACCCAAGTAATAGGCATTAAAATAACAATTGCCTCCAGACTCATCTAATATCTGATTTATCTTTGTTTTGATTCCTAATGTTTTAATGTCAATTATTTTAAAGGTCTTTTTATGTTTCAGTTAATTGTTATAAACATATGGTAAGCCAGAGACAGATACCCAAATCCCCATGTATTTGGCTGAGTTCTTGCACTGTCAATATGTGCTACAAGCTGCATTTAACAATGTCCTTAATGTTTTACAACCTAATCTTTCATCCAAACCCATGCTCTGCCAATTCTTCTGGCAGAGCTGTGGAACCGTCTCCAAATTGCTCATTTAATTTGTAAGCAGAGGTATTCTAAGGATTTAAATGGAAATAAAGCAGAATTTTAAAAAATGCATAATTAGTAATTTGATTTCAAATCTGTAAATATTCATTACCAACACAAATCTGAGATAAAATCCTTAAATTCTTCAATGAAGATCAACTGTTTTGATTTAAATATATCTCCTATTTGACTGACAAACACATTTAAATTGTTTTATTTGTATATTGATGTGTGTGACAAATCGATTGACTATGTAAGAAGCAAAAGTTTAGGATGAAACTATTTCTCTATAATTGTATTGATGTGATACATTTTAAAAATATTGAAGAATTCTCTGCACATGTGAGGCTTGGAATTACAAATTCCCTATTACAGTATTACAATTGTACACTACAATAAATCCGAGTTTCACATAAAGAATTCCTTGCCAATGTAAATAATGCCATATATTTACTATTAATGTTAGCTCCTTCCTCAGAAAAAAAAGCATTTAAAGCACTATAGAATATTTGAAGGTATAAAAGTGTATAAAACCATGAATATATCTTCTGTACATTATATGGGAATAGAGACAAGCAGAAGGACTTAAGAAATCCACTGACATTAAAACTGTTGGAAAATTATATCTCCTTGTTATCCAGGGTAGCATAAGGGTGGATAAAAGCCATATTCTATTAACCATATAAATTGCTGTTTAGGAGTGGGCTGGAGATGGGAGTGAGACAGTAACACAGAAAAAATGGAGAAAAGTAAATAACTGGATTAGCTTTCTCAGTAGAAAGTAATCCATTAAATGTAATCCATTAATACGTTGCAAAATATAATAAATTAAGAAAAAATAACCCACAAAATACCCAAGGGGAGAATTAATTAATATTTCATCTGTCTCTGTGGTGAGTTGTTCTTTCTGCTCCAAAATGTATGCCTTTTATATATAAAAGGTTAATATTACCAGGCCAAGTGATATTTACCTTCTAACAGCTCAATAAATGACATAGAGAACCAATTTTGTGAGATGTGTATGTTGTCCAAATGGCATACAGGTGGCATGAGACAAACAACCTGAAAATATTTACAAATTCCTATTCTTGCACTGGGAATGTACTGAATATTCAAGAAACAATTGTACTTGTTCGTGAACCAACATCTGTAATGATGCAAATCTAATTTGCATGTGAATTAAGAACATATTAAATTTGTTTTTAGATGGTCCTACCCACCAGTCAAATGTGGAGAGAGTTTCAGCTGTAACAATGGAGGTCTTTGCACTGATGGGTTGTGGGGTGCCAATTGTACCTGCAAACCAGGCTTTACTGGAGTAAGGTAATGACAATTATTATAATCCCAATAAACTTATTGCTCACGTTGTTTCCATATTTTAAGAAATGACATTGTTTCTTGTTTTAGTGTGGTGTCAGATATTGTTATTTTAAAAACCCGAATAAACATTTTCCTTCATCTACTCATGGCTCATGTGGCATTCAGAAAAAATTCAGGTCAGTTGTCTTGAATAATATGTTTTGTCATTGTGTCTTGATATTAATCCCTTTCCTCCAACCATCCCTGTCCACTTATATCTACCCATCTCTCAATAGGATACTCATGTGGTTCTGTAGTCTAGTGGGTATCACGTTCGCTTTACATGCAAAAGGTCCCTGGTTCGGAACTGGCCTGAAACAGGGCAATGCATTTGGAAATGTTATCACACATCTCTGGAGTAGGTGGGACTTGAACCTGGACTTCTGGCTCAGAGGTAGGGACATTACCATTGAGTCATAGGAGCCTTTTAGTGTGGTGTATTTTTAAAAAATTAACCTATTTTTCTAATAAACCTGTTCAGAGATGTTATTACACACCTCTGGAGCAGGTGGGACTTGAACCGAGGTCTCCCTGGTCCAGGGTAGAGACACCACCACTGCGGCACAAGGGGCCCTGTTGATGTGGTGCATGTTTGGAACTCTAGTACTTGGTCAGTTGCACAAGCATGGGTATTCTATTCTCAAAGTAAATAGACAGGAATGGTTAGAGGAAAGGGATCAACATCAAGACACAATGACACAAAGTATATTTTGAAGGGTTAGCAAAGGTTTTGCAGAAATTGTTTGAATGTTACCCAGCGGAATTTTGAAGCATTATTACAATTTATGAATAGTAGGTTTATATGTCTAGATATCTCACCATGAAAGAGTACACAGGAACATAAGTTTTGGAAGCAGGAGAAGGCTGTTTGACACTTTGAGCCTGTTCCGCAATTCAATAAGATCATGTCTGATCTGCCTGTGATCTCATCACCACTTTTTTGCCTCCCTTGTCTGTCAAAAATTCTATTGTGCTCAGCCTTGAGTAAATTCAAAGACCCAGCCTCTGCTACCTTCAGAGGAAATGAATTCAAGCCTCTAATGAACCTCTCAATTGAAATTTCAAATCTTAGTCTTTAAATGGAGACTGTTTTACTCACAAGGTTCCTTATTTTCAGTCTCCCCATGAGAAGAAACATCTTCTAGGAATCCACCTGATAATTATCCCCCAAGATCTTATAATTTTTAATTAGATCAACTTTTCATTCTTCAAAACAACAATAGGCTAAGCTTAACATATTTAACCTTGGTTCATTAGGTGAGCCTTTCATCCCAAATCATAGAATCCCTCCTGTGTGGAAGTAAGCCATTCAGCTCATCGAATTCACAACAACCCTCTGGATAGCATTGTGCCCAGACCCACCCCCCTACCCTGCTCTTGTAACCCTGCATTTCCCGTGGCTAATCCACCTAGCCTGCACATCCCTGGACACTATGAGCAATTTAGCATGGCCAATCCGCCTAACTCGCACATCTTTGCACTGTGAGAGTATCCAGTGGAAACACCCGTAGACACGGGGAGAATGTGCAAACTCCACACAGTTGCCCGAGGGTGGAATCAAACCTGAATTCCTGGTGCTGTGATGCAACAGTGCTAACCACTGAGTCAGTACACCACCCCAAATAAAGCAGCCCAGTTACGAACCAAGGACCTTTTGCATGTAAGGTGAACGTGATACCCACTACTCTACAGAAACCCATCGGTATCCAATTGAGAGATGGTTAGAAGTAAGTGGACAGGAACGCTTGGAGGGAAGGGATTAATATCAGGATGCAATGACAAAACACTATTCTTCAAGACAACTGATCTGAATTTTTTCTTAATGCCGTATGAGTCATGAGTAGATAAAGAAGAGTTTATTCAGATTTTTAAAACATTGTTTGGCAGTTGCTGGAGAAGTTATTTCTACAAAGATCTGTAGCTGCAGAATTTTATGTTTTTGATAAAACTAATGGTTGTATGAACGATTGTCTTAGCAAAATATAACTGACAAGCACACGGTACATGTGAAGTCTGAAACACATAATGCTGGCCAAAGGTCCTATGAATAAAAAATATTCTTGGTATATTCTATTTTATAGAAATAAGTTTCCCATTAATTGCAATTACATTTTCAAGACTGAAAAGACACTCCCTACGAAACTAACAAACTTTGAGTAAAACTAGATAGGGTAGGAATCTGATGCCATGTTCCACACTGTGAGTCAAGACCAACTGCAAACTTCAACCAAAATGAAATTAGGGGGTGAGGGATAATTTGTCATTGCCAATGTAAGATTCTGAATAAGATAACAGACCTGGAATATAATTTCATTGAAGTTAATTAATCCCTTCATTGATTAGTCATTTTAAAGCATAGTTGGATGATTGTTTCAATGAAGGAGGTAAATATGGTCATAGTTAGTTACTGTATATAGGACTGTGCCTTTAATCCTGTCCTGAACACAACTATTCCATCTGTGGAAAGCAACAGGTTGGAATTAAATAATGGTGTCTTGTGCCTTTTTTGGCTTAACTTCTTCAATTAATTGGGGCAAATACTTCTTTATGTCTTCAGAAGACAATTGACAAACATTTATGAAAAGAAAATATTGTAATCTTGTGCGGTGAATAACCTACTTGTTAGAAATCTCCTGAACTATTATCGTTTCCAAATCCTCAAAGTTCTTCAGAGAGTTTTGATATTGTATTTGCAATCATTCTGACGTCGCAGAGAATAAACTGTGCTCCGAGTTGCCACACAATTGAGAAGTAACATTCTTCAAAACAACTGATCTGAATATTGTCTGAATGCCATGAGTCTCTTAAGGATTTTTCACTTTTACACACAGAAACATCTATTTGTGTAGTCCAGAACGTGTACACTGATCAAAGTACTGGCATGGAAACTTTAAATATTGTGTTGCCTATTAATTTAGGAGATCTCTGTGATTGCTTTGAAATTAATGAAAATCTTTTAAAATCTGAGGGTGGAGTGTAACAGTTTTTGTTACTTTGAGAAGTTGACGTGAAATCCATTGCTGCGAATGAAAGGCTCCTTGTTATTGATGCAATAAAATAACATTTTGGACGCAAAGTACAGTGTTAATGAACAATGCTGGCAGTTACAGGTATGTGAATTCTAGACAGCAGGAAAAGTGTTGATCGAGATTAAAAATAATCAACAATCTGCACCATACAAGATCATTTTCGGAAAGGGATTGGTTTATCCAGTTAGATCTGGCATTGTCTGTGTAGAGAGAAACACAGTTAACATTTTGAGTCCAGTATGACTCTTGTTCATTGCTTTTCAGTTCTTAAGAAAGATCATACCAAACGCAAAATGTTAATTGTGTTTCTCCCTCCATAGATGCTGCCAGACCTGCTGAGTTTCTCCAGCATTCTCCATGTTTGTTTCAGATTTACAGCATCCACAGTATCTTGTCTTTATTCAAAGGGTTATCAAAATAATTTGACTTCACCTAGTTCATTAATTTCCACCTTCAACTTTCCTAGCTGTGAAGAAGTGGTGAATGAATGTGATTCGAATCCCTGCCAGAATGGAGGGACCTGCCATAACCTGGTCAACAAATTTGTTTGCGTTTGTGGAGATAACTTTGCAGGCGAACAGTGCGAGCTTGATGTAAGCAACCTTTATTTCTTCTGCTCAATGTTGCTTTGGCAAAATTATTTTCAGTTCTAGCCTTGTCCTATGCATTGAATGTGAAGGAACCAAAAAGAAACTTTATCTGGCACTAGATTTGCTCAAGTCTTTCTCCATCTAACAAAGCCCAGGGATTTGATATATACCAAGAAGGTATCTGAAGAGCTAATATGTATCAAATATTATGCAAGTCAAGACATCTTTCATTCTGTTGAAAGTTCGTAGGCAAATTTTTAGTGGTCCTAACATTTCATAAGTGATCTGGAAATTACTTAGTTTCTTCCATTGACACATGCGTAACCTCAGTAGATATTGCAGCGCTTATCTAAATGTGTGGAGGCCTCCACTGCTGTTCTCAGCCAGGTTATGTATTGCAAAATACTTGGCAGAAGCATAGCATTTTCATTTATCGGTCTTTTTTCTGCAAAGAATATCATAACTTATTGGTCTCCCCTGCCAGTATAATGTCCCATTGACTTTGTACTTTACACTACCAGCTCTAAAGGAATAGAAGAAAACAATCAAAGAGTAATTGGGAAGTGCAGTTTCCCTGATAGAGTCATAAAGCATGGAAACAGACATTTCGGTCCAACCAGTCCACGCTGAACATAATCCCAAACAAAACTAGTCCCACCTGCCTACTCCTGGCCCATACCCCTCTAAACCTTCCCATTTCATGTATTTACCTAAGTGTCTTTTAAACATTGTAACTGTGCCCACATCCAACATTTCTTCAGGAAGTTCATTTCACATGCAAACCACCCTCTGTACAAAAAAATTTGCCCCTCATTTCTTTTTTAAATCTCCCTCCTCTCACCTTAAAAATATGCCCCTTGGTCTTGAAACCCCCATCCTAGGGAAAAGACACCTCCTATTAACCCTGTCCAGCTGAATAATATCCTTAAAGCTGTGAGCACATTATCATTATAAATATGCAACATACCAGTTCAGATAATTTTCTTTCATCTAACAAAGAACAAAGAACAACACAGCACAGTAACAGGCCCTTCAGCCCTCCAAGCCTGCGCTGACACATTTTGCTCTCCCATACTAAAACTGTCTTCACTTACAGGATCCATATCCCTCTATTCCCTTCCTATCTATGTATTCATCCTGGTGCTTCTTGAATGCTGCTATTGTGTCTGCTTCCACCACCTCCTCTGGCAGCACATTCCATGCACTCACCACCCTTTGTGTGAAAAGCCTGACTCGCACATCTCTTTTAAACTTACCCCTTGCACTTTGAACCAATGTCCCCTAGTAATTGACCCCTCCACCCTGCGAAAAAGCCTCATACTTTCCACTCTATCCATGCCATTCATAATCTTATAAACTTCTGTCAGGTCACCCCTCAACCTCCTGCGTTCCAGTGAAAACAAATCCAATCGATCTAACCTTTCTTCATAGCTAAAATCCCCCATACCCGGCAACATCCTAGTAAACCTTTTCTACGCACTCTCCAAAACATCCACACCCTTCTCGTAATGTGGTGACCAGAACTGTACATAATATTCCAAGTAGGACCTAACTAACGTTCTATAAAGCTGCAGCATAACTTGCCAATCCGATTACTCAATACCCCTTCCAATGAAGACAAGCATGCCATAGGCCTTTTTTACTACCTTTTCTATCTGCGCTGCCACCTTCAGTGATCTGTGGACCTGTTCACCCAGATCCCTCTGCATATCAATACTCCTAAGGGTTCTGCCATTCACTGTATAATTTCCACCTGTACTTGACCTTCCAAAATGCATTACCTCACATTTGTTCACGTTAAACTCCATCTGCCATTTCTCTGCCCATGCCTCCAACTGATCTATATCCTGCTGAATCCTCTGACAATCCTCTTCACAATCAGCAACTCCACCAATCTTTGTATCATCACAAACTTACTAATTAAACCAGCTACATTTTCCTCCAAATAATTTATGTAGACCACAAACAGCAGAGGTCCTAGCACTGATTCCTGTGGAACGCCACTAGTCACAACCCTCCATTCCGAAAAGCATCCTTCCACCACTACCCTCTGTCTCCTCTGTCTAAGCCAGTTCTGTATCCATCTTGCCAGATCACCCTTGATACTATCTAACTAATCTAATCATGAATGTTAACACATTTTGACAACCATCAATCCTGCAAATGAATTACACAATCTCATAACTTTGAAGAGGTTTCTGCTGTCTGTCTGTATTCAACATCTCCTACATTTAATATGCAATCCCTTAATCATGACCTCACTGCAACTAAACTGATCATTCTCAACTGCATTAGATATTTTCTAATTGCCCTGTTCAGGAATGTTATTACTTATGTCTAGAGTAGGTGGGCTTAAACCCAGGCCTCCTGGCTCAGAATTCGGACACTGCCACTGCACCACAAGAGTGCTTTCCTCAACTGCATTAATGTAGGTCCATCTATTGGAAGCTCCTGTACTGGTTTGTGCTCTTATGCTGTTGATTGCTATATCTTCCGTTTCCAATACTCAGAAATTTAGGGGTGAATGACAGTCATTAATTATTCCATATCTTTCCAAGATTGATTTCTGTAACAGTAATGGATAACTTTGTTAACAAATGGCATTTTTCTAATGGTTCCATCTGATTGATTTATTAGTGGAGTGACAATATTTTCAAAGCTGCAGTATCCCATAGTTAGCACAGTCAGAATTTAGACATGTGGAGATTTATCCTGAACTGTAAGAGGAAGGTGATGATAAGTGAAGGACCAATCATCTTGATTTCAAGTAGCAATCTTAAGATTCTGGCCAGCTTTACCTTACATGAGATGGTTGAGAAACCAAACTAGTAGCAGTAAATTAGGAATTCACAACCAGTTAAAGGATGGAGCCTCAGTATATTGTCAATACACACATCACCAGCACCAATGCTGCAACTATTCCCTGTATTAAAGTTGGCGTAGGTTCAGTTTGAATCATAACATATAGACCTTGCATCCTTCCTGAGTTGAGTCTTGGAACTCTGGAGCAGAATATTGCATACCCTATTTTATTTAGCTAAACACTAGTGCTAAGGAGAAGGATTTGAAATCAAATTTAAGCTACAAATGTGGTTAACATTTACAGCAAGTATTTGCCCATGATTAACTAACTAGGGTTCATGGGCTTATGATTTTCAACAGAACTTGAATACAATAATTGCACCAACAAGAAAACTTAAACATTGAACTATTTGGATTGTTAAAGATTATCTTAATTTTAACATGAATGGTTTTTATGAATCCATGAGCAAAACCAACCATATGAGCACCGCTAACAAAATCAAAGTGTCACCTTGCCTTCAGGGTTTCCTTTCAGCTATATAACCACAAACTAACCAGCTTGAAGAAGAACGTGCATGATGAAAAGCTGCATCAATCACTTTTCTCTGATCACAGTTTACGTATAAAAAAAAGTTTGAACTCTTTTGATGGCTCATAGCTAATTGCATGTAAATTCCATTTTCTAAACAGACAATATGCTGCATTATTTTATAGACCTGCAGGGAACTATTAATACTTTTATTCCATGTGTTAGTGCATGTGGGTTGATTGTTTACATCACATGGGAATGCTTGAATCTGCTATCTTTCAAATGGTTCCTTCTTTCAGAGTGCACTGCCTCATCCACCCTGTTTCACAGGCTGGACTCACACAGTTGCCAATTGTTCTTGGAATTGTTATCTGGAACACGCTGTGTTCTTTTGGGTGGCAGTAAATGAAAGAATATGGGTTACCATGGAGCGTGCTATTGTGTGCCATCAAGTGAATGTTATCAGAATGTCTCGTCCGACACTGAGCATGACTTTATCTGTGACCTTGAATTTCCTACTTCTCATTTGCTCTTGCTTCTCCTCACGTCATAAATATTAATAATGTGCAATGGAAAATTATTTCTTGGAGTTGGGAAATGTTTAAAGCATAAAGTGATGTGTCTTAATCATTTGTCTTTGTGTCTTCTCGTCTGTCATGTAGTTTTCTTTCCCAAATACATCATTGGGTGTATGTTTTTAACTGCTTGGGAGGGGAAGTCTCCTAATCGTCCTTTCCTCCAATTGATTTAGTGCCTCCAAAAAGACTAATCCTCTCCAGTTCAGGGTTCCAACACCAGCTCCTTGATATGAGTTTTTTTTTATTCATTTATGGGAATGTGGGCATCACAGGCTGGGCCAGCATTTATTGCCCATCCCTATTTGCCCAGAGAAGATGGTGGTGAGTTACCTTCTTGATCTGCTACTGTCCATTTGGAGTAGATTGTTCCAAAATGCCATTAGGGACAGAAATTAGAGGATTTTGTCCCAATGACACTGAAAGAGCGGTGATATATTCCAAGTCAGGGTGGTGAGTGGCTCAGATGGGAACTTGCATGTAGTGGTGCTCCCATTATCTGCTGCACTTGTCCTTGTAAGTGGTAGACGTTGTATGGTTGAACAATTTTTTTTTGCAGTTGTAGTTTACTTTGTGAGAGGGTATAGTTTATTTCTTTAATCTGGGCTGCCAGTATGGAACTCTATGCTCATTGATTCGTTGGGCAAGTTAATAAATTGAGGAGGAATAACCTGCCGGTAATATCTAGCTCTCATACAGCTGTTCTCCTTTTAATACATTAACTGATTCTTTCTTTAACAAGCAGCACATTTCACTGATATAACTTTTACTAGGCCTTTGCTCGAAGATTGTTATAATCATTTTTATCTACTAACATGTGTTGAATGGCATGTTGTGCACTGCATTGGAATAAACCATTTATGTTTTGTGCTGGCTGTGCTCCACAATTTTCAATGTGCTTTTTCTGTTTTCAGTACAATGATCTTTACGAGGATCTGTTTTCAGAATGCACAGGAAGACTTGGATCTTGCTCATACCAGTGGCACTTTAGATAATTATCCAACCCAGTGACACATACACATGGTACTTCCTGGTGGGATATTTATCTGAATGAGTATTGGTCCAGGTTTACAAACAGATGTGACTGACAGTTATTT